AGTGAATTACGGACTGCCTATCGAAAGGCGAAGATATTTGAGGTGGTGATTCGATAACCGTCGCCGTGCGTAGTGTCGCACTGCGTGTTATTCTTTCCTGTGTGGTGCGGTGCTAATCAACCGAAGAGTGATCGTCACAGGGATAGTTTTTTCTCTCCCCTCCAGCCATGGAGCTGGATAGGGATTTTCCTCACCTCCCTGGAGACACCGGGGGAGGATCAGCAAGCTACATAGATGGATCTCATGCTGGAGCAACGTTACCCAATTACATGGACCCCTATGATGAACACGGTGAGATTGTTGTTTTGAAGTTGCAGCCTGTTACCGGTAAATTACCGGAACATCCTTTCATGCTGCGTTCATCGGTAGAGAAATGGATAAACGGAAAAATTGAAGGTGCGTTTCCGGAAGCTCAAGGACAAGCCTATGCCCTGAAAGTCAGAAGTAAGTGGCAACTCAATCGACTTCTAAACATGACCCAACTAAACGACGGTACCGCAGTAAAGGTTACTAAGCACACGGGCCTAAACAGCGTCCGTTGCGTAATTAACTGCAGGCAGATGATGAAGGTCGATGATGAAGAAGTACTGGACTACATGAAGGATCAGAAGGTGACGAGCTTCCGGCGGATTACTCGCCGGAACGGTACTGAACAGGTTAACACGGCGACAGTCATACTAACCATCGAAGTTACCAGGATGCCGGAGCATGTAGACATAGGGTATATACGGGTGAAGACGCGGCCGTATTATCCGGCCCCGATGCTATGCTACAATTGCTTTGTTTTCGGACATACCAAGGCTCGCTGTCAACAACAGGTTCCAACATGCGGCAACTGCTCTAAGCAACATTCGATCGTTGAGGGTGTTAGGTGCACAGATAACCCGTTCTGTCCCCGCTGCAAAACCATTGAACACTCCTTGTCGAGTAGAATCTGCCCCGTTTACAAAAGCGAAGACGCTATACAGCACATCCGAATCGATAAGGGGATCTCATATCCAGCGGCGAGGAAGCTGTTTGAGGCCTCGACGAGTCAAAGATCCTATGCCGGAGTCGCTAACGCCAGTAAAGATCAGGCGTTCGCAGACCTCTCAGCGAAGTTCGATAATCTCTCCAGCCAAATGGAGGAAAAGGACCGCAAGATCGCAGCCTTGGAGGAAAGGCTGCAACAAGGACCTACGACCACTAGCAGCTCTGAAATGCATGAACTCCGACAGATGATTGCGGACCTGCGAACGGAGGCACTTCGCAAAGACGAACGTATCCAAGCCCTGGAAGCAGCCCTAAAATGGGAAAATCGAATGGACATCACACGTAAACACGGGACCATTGAGGATTTAGTCGCCAGAGTTAAGATACTTGAAGCCGCCGTCTCCAACAAAGATAAGGAGGTCACTAATCTCCGGTTAGTGAACCAACAGTACAAGGAACTCATCGCACAGTCAAAATGCCCGAAACCATCTGTACCAAGAGAAGACAAAAAAAAGGAGCATGAACAACAAAAACCCCAATCTCAGCAACCAGAAAAACCCACTGGAGCGAAGAAAAAGATACTCAAGCAGACAAGCGGTGGAGCAGATCCGAAACGACCAAAAAACCACCCTACACCGGCATACATATCTGACACCGAAGTCGAATCCCAGACTTCTCCCTCTGGAGATAAGATTACCGTCGACGAGCTCATTTCCTCGGAAGACGAGGTGATGTCCGTGGAGGGTAGCCTAACTCCAATGGAAAATTAAACCTCCGCAGTCCAGTCCGTCTTCTAACGCATCAGAACCGAATTCCCACAACCTATCCACCAAGATGCATCCTACATCAACATCATCCTCTACTGAGGTTGAGAGCTATCAACAACCAGAGCGGACTGGATCTACCCCAACTATCAAAACAACGACATCGACCTCCAACGCACCGGATAAGGCCTCGGGCAGTCGGGGCCCTGTCAGTGCGGACGCCATGGACCAACCGGAACTGGCAGACACCCCCCGACGCTCGTTGGCAAACTCCGACGAACACCGAAACCCTACCAACACAAACGACACGACTCGTTCCACCATCCCGGTTGAGCCACGGGGCAGTCGAGGCCCCGTCGGTGCGGAAGCCTTTGCCACACCGGAACCGGCGGACAACCCCCGTCACCCTGTGGCTACCGGAAGAGGGACGGAAAAGGGAGGCAACTCCTATTCCCCTGAGGACGACGTGGGAGTCAAGACAACTCTAGCCAACACTATACATACCGAGATTCAAGAACTGACGACCAAGCTGACGAATCTACTACTGGTGGGTCCCTCAGTGAAACCTCACTTGAGTAGAATATCACCGCTTATGGGAGCAAGAGCCCATCCCCCTCTGGAATACGTGGGAGTCAAGAGGGACGAGTCTGTCCAAAAACTATCACCGAAGGATGAAGTGAGAGGGAAGAAATCTCTAGCTAACAAAGTTACCGATGCAGCCGGGAAATCCGTGCCGGCGTTCAAAAACTCAATGCCTTCTTCCGGTGGAACCCTACCGCACAAATCAACAAAGGACGATGGAATCAGAACTCCTCAAGTGCGTAGGAGAGTAGCCAGAATCAGATCGGGAAAGGCACTTCCCATTAGTGTTCTAGTCTGTGCGGATGCCTACGACAAAATGCAGCACCAACGGCTCGGAATTCCTTCTCCGGAAGCGGGCCCCTCGAATACGCCTTCGTCAAATGAGCGAGCAAGCCACGATCACCACAAGCACCCAACTTCACACCTACTAACAGGAACCCTCACAATGGGGAACCGTTATAGAATGCAACCAGGTCAGTCCAACGCAAGCCTACTGGAGGCTTATCCCCTCACGAAACCTCCCCTCGGTAAGAGGACACCTAAGGATCCAGTCCATTATCCTACCTCTGCAACACGGATCCCTAGAAACCCAACGAACAAACTGTCAAAAAAACCACCGCTTGCTATACAGTGGAATATGAACGGCTTTTATAACAACCTTCCAGACTTAGAAATCCTAGTTCGTGATCAGATGCCCTCCATCCTGGCCATCCAAGAGGTCCACCGGGCCACCGTCAGCGGCATGAATCGTACGCTGGGCGGTCAATACCAGTGGACCTTAAAGAGAAACGAAAACATATTCCACTCAGCGGCAATCGGGGTCCTGGCACCAACACCGTTTTCGACCATACATCTAGACACAGACCTCCCAATCGTGGCGGTCAGACTCGAACACCCATTCCCGATTTCAGTTGTTTCCGCTTACCTTCCATGCGGGAAGATGCACAACCTTAAACAACACCTCAGCGATCTGCTTCAAGACCTCGAACGACCCATTCTGGTACTTGGGGATATGAACGGCCATCATCCAGCATGGGGAAGCCCAAAAACCAACCCCAGAGGCTCTACACTTATGGAAGTTGCAGAAGCCTCGGATCTCGTCGTGCTTAACGACGGGTCCATCACTTTCACCAGCGGACAGAGGGAATCCTCTGTAGACGTATCTCTTGCAAGCGCCATACCAGAGTCTCTATTTAGTTTAGCAACCCCACCAAATCCGATCTCCCACCGCTGGGTTGGTATAATTATAGAAACTGAAACTCCCACCGCGAGTTGCCAAACATTTCAAAAGGTCCTATTTGCTTTGATCGATTCTCTTCGACTTTCTCTTTTGATAACCACGGCTATACAAACAGATTTCAAGCTAGTTTTACAACATGGTTTGATACACGCAGAAAAAACTATCGTCGTAACAAAAATATTTGAGGTAAATTTAAACGTAAACTCAGTTTGTTCTGGCCACAAACATAAATTAGGTTGATTTCAAACGTATTCCATGTTTGAAGTTATGTGAAATCAATGTTTAAAATAAAAATAATTTTACGTTTATTTCAAAAATATTCGTGTTGAAAATGAACGTATTTATTTTTGTTTGGTTTGACAGCTATGCGAACAATAATAAATATGTTTATTTTAAACATGCTTCTCATGTTTAAAATAAACATACATATTTTGGAATTATTTTAGTAGTTGAGTGCAGGGTAAACCAAAATAAAACGGTTTGCAAAGAAATGAAAAAAAAGATCTGCGGGCAGGGCATATTAATTCCTGCTCTTTTTCGGGTGCGATTAAGGGTGACCTGTGGGTATTAGGGTCCTAGTCCGGGATGCGAGGACTCGTCCGGGTGGGTGTCCGGGGGTTCCAGTTCAGTGGAACCGGTGCAAATGTGTGTTATTAGCGTCGTTTTGCCGTTTCTGCCACTGGTCCTCATACCGGTTTCTTTCCATGTTCGGTATCGAAGGAGGATCCGGAATGGATTCGGAATGGATGGTCGTTTTCTGTTGACGTTGAGCAAAGCTGGAGCAACTTTTTCCGAATGTAACAAGAAGGAAATAAAAAGGCATGACATGCTAAAAACCGTTTACCCAAATCCTATATTGTTGAAATAAACATGCTTTTGAATTTAATTCAAACATAAATATTTTATTTTTAAAGATGCTTTCAATTCACTTTGAATAATTCATATGTTTAGAGTATAAACATTTATATTTTTGTTTTAAATGAACAAAATTCGTATCCGTGTAAAAGAGATTTTTATCTAGCATACAGAATATAAAATTCAACAGGTAATGCTTTGAAAGCTGAGTTATTAACGAAAGAGAAAGTCGATGAAAAGAATCGATCAAAGCAGATAGGAACTTTTGAATTGTTCGTCTAGAAATGACCTCTTCATCTTGGTTATGATTCGCTCATCTCTGCATGTTGGTCTGAACTTTAAATAAAGGACATTGGGTTCACGGTACTCAGGTTCTCTCCTTTTATGAACTTCTATAAATCTTGGGAACTGTTTACTCAATTCTGTGGATTTCGAAGGAACGTGAGTTTACATGCAAAACTTCATTCGTTGTATCTGTCAAATTCGGAGAAAAATTGTACAAACTGGCCGGTATTTTCTGTCAACTCATCATTAGTAAAAATTTACTTGCATCAGTTGCAGGTAGCATCCAGCTTGCAGTTTTCCCTAAAGTTCAGTTTGTTCTCTTCTACATTTTTTTTTCAGTAATACGTAGTGGATTTTTGTACATCTGAAGAAGTATTGTTTGAATTCAAGTGCAAACAATGAAATCCGACGACAAGAGTCAGCACGTCCTCCCGAACAGCCAACCGATTGTTGAGCTGGAATGTTCCACCGCCTTCAAAGCGCTGACCGAGAAAGAAAAGCTCTACGCGCATTACTTCAGTCAGGTAAGATTAAATTGTTTAGTAATAAATCAATAAATGACGTGTCTTTTTCCCCTGTTAACTGCAGGCCTCATGGGCGGGTGGGCTGGTTGCGCTGGTTCAATCGAGCCCGGAATCACCGTTGATCTTCTCGCTGTTGCATCGCATTTTCCGGGCGGAACCCACGGAGGAGCTGAAGAAGAGTGCCCTGGAGGCCGGAGTCAGTGACGATGAGTTTACGGCTTTTCTGGTGTATGCGTGTGGTTTTCTGGCCAATGCCGGAAACTACAAAGGAATGGGCGATAGCAAGATTGTGCCCAACTTGGAGGAGGATAAGTTTGAGATGGTGGTAAAAAGTTCGAAGGCTTTTAAGACGGACGAAGCCAAGGTCGGAGGGCTTTGGGAGAAGACGAAGAAGTCGATTTTTCTGTTGACAGAGCGAACGAAAACGTTGGGCTTGTGCGACCAGGGAATAACAACGTACTTTTCGTCGAACGTAACCCGAGAGGATACGGAATTGATCAGCGAATGGATGAAGGAGAACAAGTTCGAGGCGTACATTTGCCGGACGTTCAAGTCGCTGGAAGACAAGAAGACCGTGTACAATATTAAGTTGGCTTCGGCAGAGGAAGGCGAGAAGGAAGGGTTGACGAAAGAACCGGTGGAATACAAAGGCTGTGTGTTCAAAGTCACCCGTGGAGACTACAAAGAACTGATGGGGAAAGTCGCAGGTCTCCTGCAGGAGGCCAACAAACATTCGGCAAACGACAATCAGAAGCAGATGATTGAGAACTATGTTCAGAGCTTCACCGAGGGAAGTCTGGATGCACACAAGACTGGTTCTCGCTACTGGATCAAGGACAAGGGACCAGTCATCGAAACCTACATCGGATTCATCGAAACTTACAGGGATCCCGTGGGTCAGCGAGGAGAATTCGAAGGCTTTGTCGCCATGGTCAACAAGGAAATGTCGGCCAAGTTTGGAACGCTGGTTAGCAATGCAGAGAATTTCATCAAATACCTTCCATGGGGAGAAGACTACGAAAAGGACAACTACCTGAAGCCGGACTTTACTTCGCTGGATATTCTGACCTTTGCCGGATCTGGAGTTCCATGTGGCATCAACATTCCAAATTGTAGGTTTAAACTTTAAAATTTTATCGCTTCAGATCAATATGATTTTTTTTTTTCAGATGATGAAATCCGCCAGGATGAGGGCTTTAAGAACGTATCCCTGGGAAACGTTCTGGCCAATACGAACAAAACAGATTCGATCCCTTTCTTGTCGGAGGAGGATCAAGCTTTGCTGAAACGCTACAAAGCTTCTGCCTTCGAAGTACAAGTTGGCCTACACGAACTGCTTGGTCATGGTAGCGGAAAACTGCTACGTGTCAACGAAAAGGGTGAGTTCAACTTCGATCGGGAGAAGGTCAAGAACCCACTGACCGGAGAAGCGGTCACCAGTTGGTATGAACCAGGGGAAACGTACGACTCCAAGTTTAAATCGCTCGGCTCGAGCTACGAAGAATGCCGAGCGGAAGCCGTTGGCTTGTACCTAAGCTTGAATCGGGACATTTTGAAAATCTTCGGACATACCGATGATAAGGAAATTGAGGACATCATCTACGTTAATTGGCTTCTGCTGGTTTGGGGAGGCGTCGGAGTAGCGATGGAACTGTACAACCCAACGCAGAAAGCTTGGCTCCAGGCTCACTACCAGGCTCGGTTCGTTATTATGAAGGTTCTGCTGGAAGCAGGCGAAGGCTTGGTGAGCGTGGAAGAATCCGAACCCGGTAAGAACCTGCTCCTGAAGTTCGATCGTTCCAAGATCCAAACCGTAGGCAAGAAGGCGATCGAGCAGTTCCTGCTGAAGTTGCAGTACTACAAGTCGACCGGCGACATTGTCGGAGCCACAAAGATGTACAACAACTATTCGGAGGTCAGCGAGGAGGGACCGTATCCGTGGGCCAAGTGGCGTGATATCGTCCTGCTGCACAAGAAGCCACGGTTGATCTTTGTTCAGAGCAACACCGAACTGGACGCGAATGGTTCCGTGCAGTTGAAGACGTACGAGTCGAACTTCGAGGGATACATCAAGTCCTGGACGGATCGCTTCCCCGATGTGGAGATTGATGAAGTGCTCGAGCGGATCTACGAGCACGATTTGCAGTATTTCCAGGATCTGGTCTGAGCGAGGTGGCACGAAAGAAAATTTATGCCTGTTTTGAAATATAATCCTTTGTACGATTTGCTGCTATTTACCGATTCGTAAGATCGATTGCGTTTTGAGATCTATGGATATCACAGCCGTTTGGAAGGTGAGTACCTGCCATGGTTTTTATTCTATTAAAGGCCCTCGTAAAATGTATATCTGTTAACACTCCGAACACAATGGGTAAAAAACTTTACGACGACTACGAAGTCTAAAAAAAAACGTAACGTAGAGTCGTCTACATTTTTATAAAGCGAAAAGAGTTGTTACACCGACTCCATTCTCGTTTCGTTTCCTGTCCATTGTAGACAAAGTGGCTCCAGTTTCCCTTCCATATCGAGCTGGTCCGCAACTTCCTTCTCCACCAAAGTGAGCGACGACCCGTCATCTAGAAAGGCTAATACTTCGACAGATCAATCCTTGCCGTATAAAGTCACGGGTAGGATGCGGAAAAAAGTAGACCGTGGCTTTTGTCGATGGACATTCACATTTCCGGTTGCAGGTGCAGATGTTCCAGATGGTTGGGCAGATGTCATCGGTGTGCCCTCAGATTGCCCTGGGTGTAGCAAAGTATGGTGTCGAAGCTCGCACCCTTGTATACCGCACCCTGACACTTTGCACGGCCACTTTCCATGGTGAAATCAAGCATCGTCTGCAGAGATGTCACTGCTGGACCAGCTTCCACCGTCCTTCAATGTTGCGACTCTTCAAGTCATTGCAGTCTCTAATATTATGACCAAGCTTTTGACACACGGAGCACGGTTTGGGTTGATACGGTTGCTAGCAGCTGACGCAATTGTAGACATGTAGTCACTGAAAGCGCGCAGGTCCGCGTAAGGAAATTGTCGTTGATAAAGTGCCCAATCCAGCTTAATTCCTGCTGAGAGCTTTCCAACCAACTCTTGCAGCAGAGCAGGGCTGGACAAATGGTTCTCCATGCCCATTGCACGTAATTAGCCGCATAAATTTTGAACCGATGGTAATTACACTTTCTAAACTATTCGCTTTTGGGGGAGGTGTAGAACGAACCTTGTTAACCAGACTATTCACCACCAGCTCAGGCCGACCATACAGCATCTGCAATGTTGAAATGATCTGCGGTACGGATGAACGGTGAAGAAGCTGACAGCTAACAGCATGTACCGCATTACCTTTTAAGCAACGCTGCAACCGCATCAAATTCTCGGCATCAGAGTATCCGCACTTTTCATTAGAGTTGGTGTAGCTGCTGTAGAATAAAGGCCAGTCAGCTGGGTTGCCATCGAAGATTGGGAGCTCCTTTGGGACTACGTGGCGAGCAGCGAGTTGTTGAGCAATGGGTCCACTATTCGGGACATTCGGAATCAACCCAGACGCTTGCGAGACACAAGGAGTTACAATCGGATGTGAATAACTTGGGATGCATGACACAGGCGGACAAGAGACTGAACCAGACCCAACGGGTATTGCATTGGGAGCGAGATGGGCGCGTATATTTCCAAAATCCACGGGAGGCATTTGAGACGAAGGGAATGAAACTATGGGTCGTTTGAACATACCTTCGCACGCCGGAACTGCTGATGACTAGTCGGACATTGATAAACTTCTGTCGGTGGCTGCAGCGCTGACTGTAGGCGAAGACTGTCTAGTTGATACTGCAGATCTCGATCCTGCTGTTCGAGCTCATTGGAACGTGTTCCTACTTCCGATGTAATTCCCTGGTTGGCTCTTGCATTTGCCAGCTGTTGTGAAGTGGGCGGAGATATCACATTGAGGGGATAATCCAAACTAGATTGTGCTTGCGAGACTTGAGTGTTGGCTTCATTGAGATGACCTCCTTTTAGGACAATTTTGCATCCGGAAAGTCAGAAGTCTGGTCCTCCGGAAGACCCGAAACATCCGTAAAAGTGGGCAATTCATGAAACAGATTCTAGAGCTCAACGGTTTTCTTTTAAACCAGTCATAGACATCTTATCAATATGAATTCGGAGTTGTGATCGGAAAATTGACCCTTGGGTCTACGAAATGGCCCTCCAGAGGGTCAAAATCATCCCTAAAAGAGGTAAATTCATTAAATTGATCCTAAATCTCTTCTGATTTTTCTAAATCACCCATAAATGTCTCTTCAGAATAAAATGGGAGTTGTGATCGGAAAATTGACCCTTGGGACCACGAGATAGTTCACCAGGCAGATCCGGATTATCCATAAAAAATTTCAGTTCTTGAAACTGAGCTTAGAGGTCCGCTTTTTTCGAAACCACTCATTGGCGGCTTATCAAAATGAATTTGGAGTTATGACCAGAAAATTGACCCTGAGGACCAGTTCACAATGGTCACAAAGCCGTATAAATACAGAAGGCAAAATATTAGCGCCCAAACCATTACTTTTAGGTATATGGTTTCTTGGGGAAAGTTTCTTCTTATTCTTAGGCCAATCTTTTTATGTTAGTGAAATTAGGGTGGTCCATAAAATTGGTGAATTGAAAACACATACTTTTTTATTATTTGAGATAGACCAATGCAGCGTTCTAAAAAGTTGTAGAACAATCAATTTCAACTTTTCTGGTCAAAACTTCGATTTTATTGTCATAAGTGACGTCTATGAGTGCTTTCTAAAAAACCGTGGAGCTCTAGGATCAGTTTCTCGAATTGACCACTTTTACGGGTGTTCCGGATCTTCCGGTGGACCATTCTGTTGTCTCAAGAGTCCATATTCCGAACACAACTACGAATTATTTCTAATAACATGTCGACGAGTGCTTTCTAAAAACCGCGTAGCTCTAGGATCAGTTACATGAATTTACCACTTTTACGGATGTTCCGGATCTTTAAGTGGACCATCCCGTGGTCTCCAGCGTCCATATGCTGGTCATTCCTCCGAATTTATTGTGATAAGACGTCTATGACTGGTTTCGAAAAAACCGCGGAGCTCTAGGATCAGTTTCATGAATTGGCCACAGACGATCCCTAATAAAAATAATCATAGAAGAGAGCTTAACGACGTGTTCGAGGTATCATCCAAACCATTTGTGCCAAATTTTTTCCCATCCGGGATACAGTTCGTTTATGGTATTTGTTTATTAAGGATGTTATATACGAGATGCGCGGAGAGAATAAAAGTAAATCTGGTTGCACAGCCAACTATGTTATTTTTCCCGACTATGGCAGCCCGAAATTTTGTGTTTACCGAGGTGTTTACTTCGAGTGACTTTTAATTTGAGCGACTGTCGTCTTCTGTGCGCGTGCGCGTGTGTGTGTGCGTCTGAGCCGCTTTGATGAGCGTCCATGCAAAATGTTTGGTGAAACGCTTACACCTGTCATAGTAAACGCGTTGCGACACATTTTAAATATAGCCGGCAATTTTGTTTTGTTAAATGTTACATGTTAAAATTTAAACAAATTGTTAACAAGCAATTGTTAAATGTTAAATGTTAAATGTTAAATGGTAAATGTTTAATGGTAATTGTTAAACGTTAATTGTTATATGTTAAATGCTACATAATAAATACTGAATTTCAAATGTTAAATTTATAATGCTTAATGTTAATTGTTAAATGATGAATGTTCCTTCGGATGGGAAGTAAAGCCGTTGGTCCCCGGTTCATGAGTTGATGGGTTGATAGGTAGGGTCCAGGTGTGGGAGCTGCCTTCCTGGCACGTCGGTAGCATTGGTGCTCAGCACGGAAAACAAGATCGACGGAAAAAACAAACCAAAGGAAAAAAAAAATAAATGATGAATGCTAAATGCTGAATGTTACATGTTATATATTACATATTAAATGTTACATGTTACATTTTAAATGTTAAATGTTACATGTTAAATGTTTATCATTTAATGTAAAATGTTAATTGTTAAATTAAAATGTAAAATTTTAAATATTATTTGTTTATTGTTAAATGCTTAACGTTGAATGCTAAATGCTAAAGGTTAAAAGCTAAATGTAATATGTTAAATTTCATTGTTAATTGTCAATGTGAAATGTTAAATACTAAATGTTAAATTTTGAAATTTGAAATTTAAATTTTAAATGATAAATTCAAGTGTTAAATATTAAATTTGTTAATTTCAAATGCAAAATGTTGAATGTTATGTGAGAAATGCTGAATATTAAATGTTAAATGCCAAATTTTGGATGGTAATTGTAAAAATGTTAGATGGTAATTGTTAAATGTTAAATGTGCATGTTAAATGTTAATTTCTAATGTTAAATGCTGAATATGTTTGTCAAATGCTAAATGCTGAATATTAAATGTTACATGTTAAATGTAAATTGTTGTCTGATACATTTTATATGTAATATGTTAAATAATAAATGTTAAATGTTGAATATTAAACGACAAATGATAAGTGCTAAATTTAAATCCTAAATAATAAATGCTAGATGTGAATTGTAAAATATAAAACGCTTAATGTTTATGCAAAATGATTTATGCTAAATGTTAAATGTTACATGTTACATGTAAAATATTAAATGATAATTGGTAAATGTTAAATGAGAATGTTAAATGTTAGATGTTAAAAGCTGAAAGTGAATGTTGAATGCTATATGCTTAATATTAATTGTTAAATGTAAAATGTAACATGCGAAATGTAAAAGGTTTATTGTTACAGGGTGCATTTATTTTGTGAAAATATAAACGTTAAATGTTAAAAGCTAAATTTTACATTTTAAATGTTAAATGTTCAATATTCAATTTAAGATGGTAAATGATAAATGCTAAACGTTAAATGCTAAATAATTTATGTTAAATGTAAAATGGAATACCAAATGGACAACATCAACCCTTATCTGACCAATGTTGTTCATTTTTGTCATCTTGTTAGTACCGTAAAACGGGGTATCTTTGATAATGCGGGTAACTTTGATAGTAGAATATAATGATTTCATTTACTCTCTGTCTTTTTTCCGAGTAAGAAACATTGGTTCCATATTGTAGCTTAGGGCATTTCCCTTGATATCGCATATAATTTTTATATAGTTTATGTTACATGTCTGCCAAACATATTGGAAAACAATTTTCTTGCTCTTTGCTTTGAAAAAGCACTCAAACCATCACTTATGAA